GACAAGGATCTTACTGTAAATCCTAAAAAACTGATATCCTTTCAAGTTGATTGATATTAAATTAATATCAAACACATTAAACCCATTTAATTTTATGCATTGAAATAAACAAAATCAAAGTTCTAGCACACAGCACCATAAATAACGAACAAATTTAGTGATAAATAAAAATAGTTACAAATAAATATAACTAGTTAAATAGTTATAAATAAAAAATGTACTAGTCAACTGCACTAAAAACAAAAATCAGAAAACATTTGTTAAACTTTTATGCTCTCATCTTTAATAATATAAATAAGTTACACAGAAGAAGTGGGACTATTACGTGGGTATTTTGTTAATCCATGAAATTTTTTTGAAATTTTTGAGACAGAAATTAAGTAATAATACCAAAAGAACGAATTAAGTGCTTTGAAATAGTTTCTATAACTTTGGTAAATAAAATATTAGTTATTAAATTAAATTTTCTTTGAAATATTATTATTTATCAATATCATCAATATCAATACATATTTAATTTAAAATTAAAATAAATTCATTTGCTCATCAACACATATGTAGATATAGTTACGACCCATTTTGACAAATTCCTGTTTGTGATCATCAAATAAATTCAATTACTTCTTAGTTAAACATCATCACTCACATCCTCATTTATCACAATGAAATCTGTTTAGTTTCAAAGTTTAACTACAAAATATCTAAAAATTTACAATTTACTCATTTTACTTGTCAAAAATGAATTAGAATTCTTTGTAGCAATTGTCATTAAGAAATATCAAAATAATTCATTAGGGTCTTAGGTATCAAAAATTTTAAATATTTAAATTAAATTTCATTAAATGAAACCAATTCCTTTGTGAATTCACACGAAAGTAATTCCATTAAGCCAGCATGATGTATGATATTGCGGAAGAACTCAAAATACATTTCATTAAAAACGAGAAAGTGTTGAGATACTTACCACAACTTGACACTGCATTAGACCCACATAGGGAGCAATAGAGGTCAATTGTTTGCAGGTGGCCTCTCACAATGGCAAACACTTAGCATATGTAAGACATATTTCACAGCATTCCTGGCCGTAATAAAAGGAACATTTTAATAAATCCAAAATGGCACACAAAGAATCTTGATTTGAATAATTCAAATGTGCAAAAGCCAAATAACATAATTAAAAACAAGTTAAAATTGAATATGTGAATGAAATGCAAAAATATTACACATTAGTATTTTGTAGAAAATTTACTAAAATTTTTCTTTTTTATTGTTAAAATTTATATATAAAAATCATCTCAAAATATAAATTATAGTATTTATTTTAATATTATTACATATTTACTGTATCATGGAAATATTAAATTCTTTTCGATTTTCGCTAGATTGATTCTATATTTTTATTTCTTAGTGTCTTTATTCTATGAACTTTAGCAATAAATTCATTATTTTCATTTAGATATATACATAAACATATATTTTATTATTTAAACATAAATAAGAGCAAAAATTGCTTGGGTAAATTTTTAAACAAACATAAATTCTAAACTTTTATCTAAGTAAACAAATAAACATTACTGAACTTTCGCTTACACTTTCCACTTTCACTTGGCTTTTATTTTAATTGAAAACTGCGTACACCTTTTTGCCAACGAATGTCTGAAAACTGTCAAGCATTGAGACAAAAAAGGGAAAATTCTACCATTTCGACAGCAAAGGAAAAATTTACAAAATTTCAGAAAATTTCAGAAAATTTTCTTTTCTTATTTATTCAAAATATCCTTCATCC